TTTCTCATAAACAAAGGCAAAGGAAAGTTGATAATTAAAGAATTGACAATAATTGGGTGCTTTTTTTATTCTATGAATAAAAAATATTATTGATTAAAATATACTTCACTTAAAAAGTGATATCATATGATTAAGGTATTTTTTTAATTTAATACATTTCATAATTTATTTATTAAGAAAGTATATTTAATTTATTTGATTTTATTTATAATTAATTCAGATATTTAAAAATATTAATTTATAAATTTATTTTATTTTTAAGTTTTAAATAATAAATATTAATTATTTTATCATTTATTAATTAATTATTATAACCATAAAGTGTTTTTAATAATAAAAATTAAACCTAATCATAATATATATTTTAAATAATTTTAACACTTACTTATGTTTTTTTTTTTTAAACAAAGTGATAAAGGTGAGATTCGAACTTCAAATCTATAAGAAGTAAGGGAAACTGCACCTTCAAGGTGGCTCGTAAAACCAAATGCAACACTTATTTATGTTTTAACAGAAAAAAAAAAAAAGAAACTTATTTATATGATCATAATAATTATGAGCCTCAGCGCGTGCTGTCACCCATCATAAATCTAAAACACCACCAATGGTCATGAACTCATGATACAGACCGTGTTGACATGTTATTTCTGCAGGTTACATGCCAAGGCAAACTGGCTTCCGAATCTTATACATGCATATCATATGATATGATCTACCTGCGTGTTAGAAGGGTAGGAGGGTGGCAATGGAGATTGACTAGCTAATTGCATAATTTGTTGTTGGTATACTAGTTTGTGAAGAGTCCATTGACTATTTCACAGCTTAATTGGATTGTAATGAGTTGGATACCCCTAATAAAATTTTTTTGAAGTTCAAAAAAAAAAAAAAAAAAAAAAACACACACACACAACCCTCATGCATTATTATTTAAATAAAATTTTAATCATTTATCATTTTACTATAAATAGTTGAATTTTATTAAATAATTTTTTATCAATTAACAAAAAGTTATATTATAAGCAAGCATAACAAGTATTCTACCCAGTTTCAACATCAACACGGAAAAGACATGAAAAATATAAACCGTCTAAGCCTCAAAACTCAACAACCTCTCACGTACGTACCAGAAGAAATCTTGCGAAAAAATTCATATTCTCCTGCCCTCATGCGAGTACTTCTTAAATTTATTAAATAAGATTAATTATTGTATTTAATGGAGATGCGGATGCGGATGCATCAGGGGGTGGACAAATTCCCCTCAAGACTCTCCGCAACAATTTCTCAGAAACTAATTAAGCCAAGTTGACATTAAAAAAAGATACTATTAGGTGTACAAAATTTAAACTAGTTAATTGCAATTAGAGGTACATAATTCAGTGCTTGGGGGTATCTATTAATTTATTAGGTTGTTTCAGATATAAATAGGCGGTGCACCCCACCATGTGCATTACACTCTTTCCCTCTCTCACAGGATGGTAGGAAGCAGGTTAGTTTTCATGTCTGATTTATTATACCACCTTAATGTGTTAGAGTAACTCTAAAATATTTTATTTTTGTTTTTATATCCTTTTAGTTAAAGTGTTTTAAATCACCAGTTTTTCGTTTCTTAATGAGTTAAAAGAATACAAAAAAGAGAGTTAAGATTCACTTATGCACAATCATCAACTACCAAAATTTTAACTATTTATATATTTATTATAAATAATTGAAATTTAATTATTTTTATTTTATTTTTTTAAATCACCAGTTTTTCGTTTCTTAATGAGTTAAAAAAAAAAAAAAAAAAGAGTTAAGATTCACTTATGCACAATCATCAACTACCAAAATTTTAACTATTTATATATTTATTATAAATAATTGAAATTTAATTATTTTTATTTTATTTTTAAAAATAAATATTTTTTATATAAAAAATTATAATAAATCTCAACTATTTACAGTAAAGAGATAAACAAATAAAATTTGTATAAATATATCATAACTCATAAATAAACCTATTTAATATTGACACTCACTTTAAGATATAACAATAACATCACCTTATATTCCATTTAACATGGCTGTGATTTGAATTTTTAATTTTGATTTTTATAAATTTTGTAGTTAAATTTGTTTATTTTTACTTATTTTTACAACATATTATTATGAAAAAATATATATAGTTTTTATACTATTAAACAAGTAAATATTTTTATTTGCAAGGATTAAAATTTTTTTTAAACAAATTCTTAGTTTTTTATTTTGATTTTGTACATTTTTCAGTAGTTGTCAAATTTATAAAAACTAAAATAAAAAACTTAAAACCACAACTATACTAAATGGAAGCTTAGGTTTTTGTCCTCTTTTTTGGTGGAAATTAAGAAAAGCCATTTTTTCTATACTCTATAAATATCATTAATTATTGTATAAAAATGATAGTAAGTCAAATTATATGTAAAAATCAAAGTAAAACAACTAAAAAAAGATAACTTAGCACATTGTGAATATACCATAGGAGTGGACTAGCAACTCTTTTTGTTTGAGTTCATTAGTTATTTCTTACCCATTTAGCTAACAAAAAATACAAGATGTATAGAGAAGAGTTAAATATTAATAGCATGTACATAAACCTTTAGTTGAAACAGTTATTGAGACCATAATTTCTTCCCTTTTTTTTTATAAAGAAATTTTTGAAGATGAGAGTTGCAGTGATTGGAGGTGGGATTTGTGGGTTGGTTTCCGCTTTTGTTCTTACAAAAGCCGGTGTCAGTGTTGTCCTGTACGAGAAGGAAGATTGCTTGGGCGGTCATGCTAAGACTCTGAATTTCGATGCTGTTGATTTGGACCTCGATTTCATGTTCTTTAACCCCGTAAGTTCTTAGTTTTCTACGTTAATTACTTATAATGTTGTTAATTATTGTTTTTGATTTTTTTTATATGCAGTAACATTAGTAACTCAGGTTCTTTAAAAGAATCAAAATCAGAAATAAATACTTAAACGAGCCTCAATTATTTTTAATGGTATTTTGTTTCTATTTTCTTCTTTTTAATTAATGAAAAATAACTTCTTTTTTTTATGAAAAATAAAATTTCATTAATATATTGAAACCATAAAGATTATAAGACTAACCTGAATGTGGTAATATGTCAGAGGTATTACATTTATAAAATATGTGAAAATTTAAAATTAAATAATCTAATACTTACATGAATATTACAACTAAACCCTAATTCAAAATTAACAATTAAACCGTATTCCAATATAATTTATTCAAGTAGAAGATAAATTGGTTGGAGGAAAAAGATTTAGCTAAAGACCTTGTCTCAAACCATGCCTTTAACAACTAAATCAAGCACGACAAACAATTAATATGAGTTTAATTAATGTTGTGTTCAAGTTGTTATTTCCCTTAAATAAAAGTGAATCTCAATAAAAAAAAGTATCGAAAAAGGTAAAATAAAAACCCTTAAAAAAAAAAAAGAGAGAGAAACGTCCACAAAAAAAGAGAATACTCTTATTTTTAACCACCTAGTCTAACCGCCAAAGACGAGAGAAGCAGCGGCTAGGGAAAAGAAGAAAACAAGAGAAAGATGATAAAATCAGGAAGAGAGAAGAAAGGGAATTAAAAAAGAAAAGGAAAGAAAAAAAAAAAGAGTTGATTATGCAAGCAATGCGTCATTTATATTGATAGTTCTATTTGATTTAAACATAGTTGATAGTTATTTTCGGAATATATTTATTAATAGTCATGATTTTCCAGTACTTTCTCATAATAAATTTACTATACTTTTTCTGAGTTGTGTGACTGTTTGCTCTGGCAGTCAGCATGTCCTAATATGATGGAGTTGTTTGAGAGTCTCGGGGTGGATATGGAGACATCTGAGATGTCATTTTCAGTGAGCCTGGATAAGGGACAGGGTTGTGAATGGGGCAGCAAGAATGGCCTGTACAGCTTGTTTGCTCAGAAAACCAACCTCCTTAATCCCTACTTTTGGCAGATGCTTAGAGAAATTATCAAGTTCAAGGATGATGTCCTCAGGTTATGACCCGTTCCCTTCTTCTATTTTTTTTTAAAAAAAAAAAAAAAACAAGTAACAACAATCTTTTATACTTAATAAATAATAGCAGTTATATTTTATCTTTAAAAAAAAATTCTTTTATATCTTTTTTTTTATCAACAAATTAAAATACTTTATTAATAAGAGTACAAAAAATACTCAAACCCGTTACAAAATAAAAGGCTAAGTCATCACAAAATAAACCTAACACCAATATCAATATTTATGACCAAGACATACCAACAAAAACCAACCAAGCCCCACTGCCGATCACCTTTGCCCGTGTTTCTGCTTCAAATACATCTTCAATTCCTTTTTATGCCTTCTCACCACCAATGCACAAGCAACTAGGTCAACCATCCATTCATAAAAAGAAAACATAGACCCAATAGCCTTAGTTTTAATCCAAGAAAAAGACTTTATTTTAACCATAGCCAACAATTTCTCCTTAAAACCCTCATTATTTTGAAACACCACAGCATTTCTCCAATACCACAAATACCAAGAAACAATTAGAAACATACAAGCACCCATCTCCTTCCCAACTATCCTACCAAAGCTAGATGAGAAAAATTCTGCTATACCTCCCATTGAACTAGGCAACACAGATTCCACCCCCCACCAATGTAGCACCTTTGCCCAAATTAGCCAAACTTCCTTACATGTACAAAATAAATGAGTGACGTCCTCAACCACCTCATTGCATAAACTACATATTAAACTCCCCTCTTGCATAACAACCCCTCTGTTGTATAGGTTCCTTTTTGTTGGAAGCCTGTCAAGACATAAGCGCCAACAAAAAAAAGATACCTTAGATGGCACTAAATTGCACCAAACCACTCTACAAATTTGGCCCTACAAAACACCCTACAAAACACACTCCAAAGGAGCTAAAAACTCATAAGCTTTCTTCACTATGTAATTACCTTCAGAAGCATGCACCCACCGCCAACAATCATTCCCATCGGCCTTTATTCAAATATTTCCCAGCAATTCTCTTAACAACACCTCCTCATCCCTCTCTCTACCCAATCTCTCCCTTCTCCATGCTATACTCTGGCACCACCTACCCCCATCCCAACCCCCCATCTCACTAACCATACCCTCCTAATTCGTACTCAATGCATATAATTTGGGACATAAATCACGTAAAGATTTATCTCCTACCCAAATATCTCTCCAAAAACCCACCCTTCGTCCATTACTCACCTCCCATCTGAATCCTATCACCAACATCCTTCGTACCCTCTTTGAAATCCCTCCTAAATGAATAATATCCCCCCAAATCTTCGACAACTGCCAACAATCCATTGCAGTGATATCAACCACCTCCTTACCCTCATAATATTTATCCCTCAGCACTTGTTTCCATAAACTCTCCACACTATCACCTAATCTAAACCACCACTTTTCTAATAATACCCAATTTCTCCTCTTTAAATCCAGCACCCCTAAACCTCTTTTCACCTTACTACAGCAAATATCGTCTCACATAACCTAGGAAATCTTCCTTTTTAAGTCAGGCCCACCCCATAAAAAATTCCTTTAAATAAAAAAATTCTCTTATATCTTAATTCATTTTATTCAAATGCAATATAATACAAACCAACCCTTCTAACTAATTAAAGAATTTACGTGGTTGACATGAGCTATTTTTCTTAGTTTACATAACATTTTTTACTACATAAAAAAATAA